TGGACCGTCTACAAACATCACACTCAACTTCTGGAACGACTCCATTAGCATTGCCTCTGAAAACTGCAAATTCTTCCAAGAAGAAGCAAAAATCACCAGCATTAAAGCGATGATCCTCTGCCATCAATTGGACTGCCACATTCTCCAAATGCCCTATCTCTGTCTCCCAAAGCAGTTACTCTACTCCCAAGAACAGAAAACAGAATGTTGGTGGACAGGAAGAGATTTAAAGATGGCCTTAAAGGTAACCTTAAAAACTGTGGCATAGACACTGAGAATTGGGAAGCTCTGACCCTTGAGCATTCAAACTGGAGGGTTTTTTTTCCCACTACTCTTCATTAAAGTTGACCTGAAGAGTAGTGAAAAAGATTGATGAAGTTGGTTCAGATCTCTGGAGCAGAAAGAGGGTTGGAATGGGGGTTAAGGAGCATCTGTTAAATTGGTTTACTTTGATAAAAATCAATTTTGAGGAGACACTGAGTCCACTGTGTGGACAATTTCAGATTTGGGTGTTTTTTGGATTTCTGGATAAGGGATGCTTATAAATGAAGATATGTGCGGCATTTTCTAAGTCACACGTGGACAGATTCATAACTAGTTTCAGTTGCAGTCTTGTGTTAAAGGTACCAGTGGAGCTAAAGCTTTAAAAGAATCTTAAAAAACAACCTTGGTTGGTATGTATTAAGGATCCTAAGATACTAGCTCCTCCACAAATTCTTACTTTGCAATGCTCCAGTTTGATCCTAAGTATATTTACTCAGAAGTCTGCAAGAGTTACTTTCAAGTAGAGATAGCTAGGATTCAAGCCTGAGTAATGAGACTGGAAATTTACAGCGTTGCCAAACAACAGCTGCCTCATTTACCTTTTCTGAAACCCTCTCAAACTATTGGTTTTGGAAGATGGTTGGACATAAGCTGCAGAACTGGGAGCTCTTCAAGGCCAATAACCTTTAGCCCATAATCGAAGTGCCCACTTCCAGATGTTTGGCTCCCTTTTCTACCTGCAATATTTTTTGTAAAGGCAAGGATCAGTGGATGAATAGAACTTGATGTGAGATTTCAGAAGCCATGGACAATAACCGCTGTGCGGAGCTTTCTAAACTGTGTCATAACATGTTGGTGTATCAGCTGTAATGGGAAATGACAGAAATCTTGGAAATGTATGTTATCTTATAAATCATATATTTTAATATATAAAGAAAAGGTTTGTGTCCCTGTACTTGTTGTTATTACAATTCATGTATGTACCTGTCTTATACATGGTTGGTTTAACCTACCATTTCCTAGTAAAACTGAATTACTCTGTCACAAAATGAGGCATGTCTAAAAAAAGTGTCACCAACATGAAATGTTTGGAAAAGTCTGCACTAAAGAACCTCTAAAGATGCTGTGCTTGTTGGTCAAAAATAACCACTGGGGGCAGAAAAAGTTTGAGGGGGTTGTATTGTCGAAGGCTTTCATGGCTGGAATCACTAGGTTCTTGTGGGTTTTTTCGGGCTATGGAGCCATGTTCTAGAGGCATTTCTCCTGACGTTTCGCCTGCATCTATGGCAAGCATCCTCAGAGGTTGAGAAGGTCTGAGGGGGTTTTTTTTGCAGGAAGGTACAGAGAATGGCTTCTTAGTTTCTTCACATATCCGTCAAAGGAAAATCACTCATGTAGCTTAGCGCCTGCATAGTCCGTGTACACAGCATGAAAACCATTTTTTGCATTAAACTAAAATGTTTAATCATCTCTCCCTGAAGTTACATTGTCTTTGGCACCTTTTGAGATATTATATGGCAATTGAGGAAACAGGGAAGTATAAATCAGATATTCCCACCTTTTTAGCACAAGAGACTGAGACCAGGTCGGGCAACCACTGGCCCGCTGCATGCTTGGACTAGTCACTATAATTTAAGTGCATTAGCCATGCCAGTTTGCCAGACTTAGATAAGTTGTGAAGCTTGTAACTCACAGGATACAATACCACTGAGCCATGGCCGTTAAAGTGATGTCAAATCCCATTAATTGCACTATGTTGATCAGTTGTTCTCAACTTGTGGGTCCCCAGATATTTTGGGCTTCAATTCTCAGAAATCCTGATAGCTGGTAAACTGGCTAGGATTTCTGGGAGTTGTAGACCAAAACACCTGGAGACCCACAGATTGAGAACACTGGTGTAGATGCATCCTGAATCCCATGGCAAATCAGTGCACCATGCTGCCACTTTGTTTATAAATCTGGCTTTGTTTGGTTTTTGCAACCTCTGATCCCAATATATTTTTACACTTTGCACAGCATTTAAAAATCCAATAGTATAGAAGTGTGGTGAAATGAGAAACTCTGGATGCATTTACACTGTAAAAACGATACATGGCCACAACTTTAACTGCCACGGCTCTATGTGTTCAAATTCTGGGAGACGCAGTTGTACAACTTCTCTGCCAAATAGCACTGGCGGCTCCCTAAACAACAGCTTCCAGGATTCCGTAGCACTGAGCCTTGGCAGCTGAAGTGGTACGAAACTGCATTCATTCTACAGTGTAGATCAGGGGTTCCCAACCTGTGGTCCGTGGACCACCAGTGGTCCACAAGAACTAAAATATGTTCCACAGCCTCACCGTTAATACACTGTTACGAGAGTAAATGTTCTCACGACACCTGAGGCTTTAAATATGGTTTTCTGTGGGCGAGCAGATGGCATATGTTCTGTTTCAGAAACTAGAGCTGATGTGGTCTATCCAATGCAGTTTTCTGAATCAGCATCACAAACAGCCAAACCGAATCTAAAGCTGACCAAAAACTGACTCGTAACCCTTTTGGTACTAATGTTGGAAAGTGATCCCGGGTCAAGTGATTCCTGGTCAAAAAAAGGTTGGGAACCATTGGTGTAGATGCACTCAAGCAAGGTGTGTACCTTAGTGCTTGGACACAACTGTGCAGGGGCAAAATTTCAAAATCTTGGCATGCAATACTAATTAGAGATAGAATACCCAACTCTGATTAGGTCGCCATGATAACAATTTCTTTTTCAATATCAGTGTCTTGGCTTAGCCATTCACGAATCACCAGAGCTACTGGTGAGGGTTGCGTTATACAGTGTACAGGCAGTCCCCGAGTTACAAACATCTGACTTACAAAGATTCCTAGTTAAGAACAGGGGTGAGACAACAGGAAGTGAGGGAAATCTATCCCTAGGAAGGGAAATTCACCCCTAAAACAGTTATCATGGGGAAAAGTGTCTTTACTAAAGCTTTATCTCCAATCCTTGTTTCCACAAGAAGCCAATTTTTTCAAAAATCCAGTTATTACAGGCACAGAAAGTGAAGTGGAATCATCTGAACAGGGGCACAGAAAGCAAAACAAAGCCATGTATAAATATGTGAGAGGAAGCCACAGGGAGGAGGGAGCAAGCTTGTTTTCTGCTTCCCTGGAGACTAGGACGCGGAACAATGGGTTCAAACTACAAGAGAAGAGATTCCATCTGAACATGAGGAAGAACTTCCTGACTGTGAGAGCCGTTCAGCAGTGGAACTCTCTGCCCCGGAGTGTGGTGGAGGCTCCTTTTTTGGAAGCTTTTAAACAGAGGCTGGATGGCCATCTGTCAGGGGTGATTTAAATGCAATATTCCTGCTTCTTGGCAGGGGGTTGGACTGGATGGCCCATGAGGTCTCTTCCAAATCTTTGATTCTATGATTCTATGAAAGCCACAGGAGTGTTAACCCTTCTCTATGCTATTCAAAGCTATCTATTTAGCTAGCTTTGGCTAGAGTTACACTTAAAAATGTATGTGTTCCGATATACACATTTAACTTCAGAACATCTTTTGCTTACTCTCTCTGGGCCCTAGCACATAGCCATATAACCCAGAATATCAAGGCAGGAAACCCCACAGTATCTGCTTTGAACTGGGTTATCTGAGTCCACACTGCCCTATATTCCAGTTCAAAGCAGATATTCTGGGTTATAAGGCTGTGTGGAAGGACCCTCTCTGTCTTGCCTTTCCCTCCTCTCTCTGGGCCTTTCCATACAGTCCCAGAATACCAAGAATACCAGAATACCAAGGCAAGAAATCCCACAGTATCTGCTTTGAACTGGGTTATCTGAGTCCACACTTCCATATATTCCAGCTCAAAGCAGATATTGTGGGATTTCCTGCCTGTGTGGAAAGGCCCTGGGTTATCTGTGCCCACACTCAGATAATGTGGGAATTTCAGCCTTGATATTCTGGAATACAGGCCTGTGTGGAAGGGCCCTCTCTTCTCCTTCCAGGACCTCTCTTGTTTGTAACTTGGGGTCTGCTTGTATGTTTCCAGGACTTGTTTGTAACTTGGGGCCTGTCTGTATGTTTTCAGGTCTTGTTTGTAACTTGGGGACTGGTTGAATGTTCTCAGGACTTGTGTAGTTTGTAACTTGGGGACTGGCTGAATGTTCTCAGGACTTGTCTTGTTTGTAACTTGGGGCCTGCCTAAATACTTTGGAGGCCACTTTGTGTTCCCCTCAGCGCGCCTCCTCCTCCTCCTCCTCCTGCTGCTTCCAGCTCCGAGGGCGGGCAGGCGGGCCTAGGCGGGGCCCCGTTTCCCTCCCTGCCTGCCTGCCTCCCTCCTCCCTTTCGCGGCCTGCCTGCCTGCCTCCCTGCCTTCCTTCCTGAGGAGAAAAGGGCGGAGCGAGAGGGAAGATGGCGGGGCCAGGCGCCGACGGAATGCGGCGGAGGGAGCCGACGGGGCGGCGAGGCTGAGCGGACAAAGAGGAGGCCGCGCTGAGGGAAAGCAAGGGAGGAGGGAAGGAAGGAAGGAAGGAAGGGCGGGCGGCAGACTCGGAGGCCTGGGCGGCGGCGGAGGAGGAGGACGATGAGCGCGGCGCAGCGGCGTCGCTGCTGCTGCTGCCCGTGCCTCCCCCGCCGGAGCCTCCCGGCTCGCTCTCCCCGCTGAGTCCGGGCTGGAGGCGGCCGGGGCGCGGGGAAGTGCAGGCCCCGCGGCCGGAGGAGGAGGAGGCGGGAGGAGGAGGCGGCGCGGCGGAGGAGGCGGCGGCGGCGGCGGGGCCATGCCGTGGCTGAGCGGGGGGCGGCGGAGGAGGAGGCAGCAGCAGGCGCAGCAGCAGCCCCCGGCTCAGCCCCAGCAGCAGCAGCAGCAGCCCCAGGCCGGCATGGGACAGGCAGGCGGCGGGCAGGCACTCTCGGCGGGGGCCGGAGGGGCCGGAGGCGGAGGAGGAGGCGTCGGCGCTGGGCCTCGCGGCCGGGAGAGCTCGGAGCTGCCTTTGCCCGCCGGCTGGGAGGAGGCCCGCGACTACGACGGGCGCGTCTTCTACATCGACCACAACACTCGGCAGACGTCGTGGATCGACCCCCGGGACAGGTCTCGCTCGGCTCTTGCTTGCCCTCCTCTCACTCTCTCTCTCCCTCCCTCCTCTTTTCCTCACCTTTTCTTCCCACTTTCTCTGGCCTTCTTTGACTCTTTTTTCTCCACCCTCTCTCCTCATTCTTGCTCCACCTCTCCCTTCATCTTTCCCCTCTTTACCCCTCCTTTTCCTCTCTACCACTCTTGTCCACACACATCTTCTCTCCTTTCTTTTCTCCCCTTCTCTCTATCCTTTCCCCCTTTCACTCTTTCTCCCTACTCACTCTCTTCTCTTTCTTCTCGTTTCCTGTATTCTTTTTCTCTTTTCATACTCTTCCTCTCCTCTTTCTCCCCATCACTCTTTCCGTCCCCTTTCTTCTCCCCTCTTTCTCTCTTCTTCTCTTTCTCTCCCCTTCTCCATCTCCCCTTCCCTCATTTCCCCCCTTCTGTCACTTCTCTTTCCACCTGCTCTTCTTTCTCTCCTAACCACATCTTTCACCCTCCTCTCTCTCTCTCTCTTCTCCTTCCCCCCTTTCTCCCCTAATTTTCTATTCTCCCCTCTTTCTCTCTTCTTCTCTTTCTCTCCCCTTCTCCATCTCCCCTTCCCTCATTTCCCCCCTTCTGTCACTTCTCTTTTTCCACCTCCTCTTCTTTCTCTTTTATCCACATCTTTCAGCCTCCTCTCTCTCTTCTCTTTCCCACTCCTTTCTCTCCTCATTTCCTATTCTCCCCTCTTTCTCTCTCCTTCTCTCCCCCTCATCTTTGCCCATCTGTCACCTCTCTTTCCCCTCCTCCTCTTCTCTTTCTCCTCCTGTCCACATCTTTCAGCCTCCTCTCTCACTTCTCCCCCTCCTTTCTCTCCTCTTTTTCTGTACTCCCCTCTTTCTCAGTTCTTCTCTTTCTCTTTTCCTCTTCTCTCTTTCGCTGTTCTTCTCTTTCTCCCTCACTCATCTTTTGCTTTCTGTCACCTCTCTTCCCCCTCTTCTTCTTCTCTTTCTCCTCCTATCCACATTTTTCAACCTCCTCCCTCTCTTTGCCTCCCCCTCCTTCTCTCCTCCCTTTTTCTCTCCTCCTTTTCTCTGTTCTTCTCTTTCTCGTTTAAGTAATTGTTTACAGTGATATGTTTTAATTACATAATTTTGAAGTATTTTATATGTACCCAAGGCATTGACTTGTGCCTTTGTTGTGAGCTGCCCTGAGTCCTCTTCAAGGTGAGAAGGGTGGGATATATATGTGGTAAATCAATCAATCAATCAATTAATAATCTTCACCTCTTCCTTCTCTCTGTTCTTCCTCCTTCCCTCCCTCTGCTTTCCCATTCTTTCCCCCCCTCTGCCCCCCCCCCCCCCCGGCTGCACCTCTTTCTCTTTGGGCCCTTCCATACAGCTATATAACCCAGGATCTCAAGCAGATAATCCACAATATCAGCTTTGAACAGGGTTATCTGAGTCCACACTGCCATGTAATCCAGTTCAGCGTCAATTTTATACAGCTGTGTGGAAGGGGCCTTCTCTTGTTCATCTCTCCATCTATTCTTTTTCTCTTCCCCTCCCTGTGCCAAAAACCTCTTTGCAGCCTGCCAACATTTTGCACCCACCTCCTTTTCTTTCATTCAAGCCATCTTTCTCTGAACTAGTGGTTCTGAATTTGGGAAAAACACAACAAAACCCAGACCTCTGATCCTCTTTGTTGGAAGAGCATCCCAGGCCTTGAAATCTACCTTTTGTTGTTGCTGTTGCTCTTCAGAGCCCTTCCAGACAGGCCCTATATCCCAGTATCTGATCCCAGGTTTTCTGTTTCTCCCAGATTATCTGGCAGTGTGGACTCATATAGTCCAATTTAAAGCAGAAAACCTGGGATCTGATTCTGGGATATAGGGCCTGTCTGGACTGGTCCTCCCTCTTGTATGTAAAGGAGGCAGCTTCTTTCAATCTCTCTGTAACTTAGGGAAGTTAGATTTCTAGTGGTGTGTATGGAACATAAAGGAATTTGGTGTTCAGACTCGGTTCCCATCCCCAAGACATCTCATTGTATACTACATATATGCAAATACTGTTCAGGTATTCCAGATTTTTAAAAGAATCTAAAAGACATGTGGTCCCAAACATTTCAAAGTCTCAACCTGTAGCTCACTATTCTTTTTCAAATGAGGTGAGCATGTTTTGAATAACATCCCAGGCAGTCAGATCTTTTGAGCTCCTTTCACTTTTAACATTTAGGAACCTCAATGCTAAATTTACCTGCAATGGAAACAGTTTCTGACTTATGTTTATTGCTGATTTCTGTCCTCTACATTTTGAATCTTGGGGGAAACATGTTTTGATCTGACCAGAGGTTGCCTTTGTTTTCTGTTATATCTCAGTATCTTATTGTACTGTCTATTTATTATCTTGATTCTCCTGTGTAAAAACAGACTGAAAGAAAAATCTAAATTATCTGTCTACGGAAATGTCATTCCCTTTGTGCTGTGGTGGCATTTTGGTGTTTTGTTTTTTTTAAAGAAAGCTTTAGTGATATAAATTAGCATCAGCCATGTAATCTATGTTAAGAAGGGATATCCCTGTGTTGCCATGCTGCTTTAAAACTGACTTAACTTTTCCTAGTTGTGCATGTTTACTGTACTGTATGATTAGAGAATTGCTTTGATCATTGAAAATGGTGTTAACACACACATATACACATACATATTTTGTGTATATATTTGTTTAATGAGTTGGATTGTAGTTTACAGCTTAGAAATTTCTGTTTTTTGGGGGGAAAGTTATTTTCTCAGGCTGTCCTCTTTATGTACATTGTTTGAAACCAGTTCCTTTCAAAAGTAAGATTTACTGTTCAGTAAGCATGCATGTAATTGTGCTATTAGTTGTTTAAGTGTGACATTTAAACCTACATAGTAGTTGTACTAGTGAAAAAACAACCCAAAACACTGTCTCTGTGGAGTTGTCAACCTACTGGATTGAATTCAGATGTCAGAAAGCTACCTATCCTTCTGAACGGCCTTTGTGGTTGAGTGAATATAGCATTGAACTTGGAACGGAGATGGATTAAACTGCATTTCAGCCATGGACTTGAAAAGAGTAACAATGGTTCAGTTTCCCATGCCTAAACACTGGAAATAGGAACGTGCTGCTGGAATGTTGTGAGGAGGAACGAGATAACGTTAAGCATGTAAAGTTCTATAGAAATAATTACCTGTAAAAACATAGTGATTAGAAAACTGTAGTGGATGAAATAATGCAGTGTTTATTTTTGCAGTCTTTGACACTAATCCCATGAAAACACATGTTCAGATTTTCATTCATAGGCATGGTTGGAAAGTTTGCATTAATGCTGAGAAGGCATGTGTGAATTTTTGTAGGATGAAGGTCTTTTTGTTTCTGGATACATTCTGTATTTAAAAACTTCCATCCTGTTTAGTTCTATTGTTTTTGAGCACTTAAAGGAAAAGAAAACAAGCAAGGTATGTGGGCCAGGAGTGTGTTTTGTAGACTGCTTCCATGTATCTTATTCAGTGGGATGCACCCACTTTTTTCTACATAGGACAAGAGATACATGCAAATGGCAGTACAGCTGACAGAAAGGGAGCTTTGAACATGAGTGTATTTTATGATCGGTTTGAGAAATAGGATAAATTATACTGCCCTCCTTTTGATGTGCAGACTGGGTGGTGGTACTGTTGAAACTTGCCTGAGTGTGGTTTGGTGGTGAACTTCAGGGGTTATTAAAAGAGAGACAAAGTTTTAAGGATTCTACTTCCCAAACCCTTTCAAGTTTTGACATCTAGGGTGGAGAAGTGTTTGTGGGTTCTTTCCTTCCTGTCCTCCTGCCATCCCGCCATTTATTTACATTGAAACATGAAGAGTAATGAAGAAAAATCCTTCCTGACATTTCACAGGTGTCCCTTAGGTCTTACAGCTTTCCCAAAATCGTTTTCAATAGCCTTGGTGATTTTGCTAGTCCTAATTCCGGCATGCTGCAATTTGATTTCTTTAACTTGGGTGAAGAAGAAACCAAAGTGCTGTTCTCCCATATTTAACTTTGAGCAGCAATGAACATTCAAGGTAGCGTTTGGTTATATCTTTTAGAAGCATGCCACTCTCAGCTGGTAGACCTTTTTATCCTATGTTGCATTGTTTTAACAATCTCCGTGGCTCTGTCTTTCTCAGTCTTCTTACCTGCCAGAACATTCCTTGCATATTTTTAATCAGGGAAGGTTTTTCTATGCTTTTTTCCTTCTACATTAAGCTCCCTCAGAAATTGTTCTTGGCCTGCCCCACTAGATAAATTGCCCCACATGCCAAACATTGATCTACAGGTTTTCAAGTCTGGACCTCTGATTGTTTTTAAACCAGACTCTGTTCTCATAGTAGCCAGGCTTTCTGTTTCTTTCCTACTTTGTACATGGACCCCCAATCACAAAGTCAGTGGAGGAAATGTAACATAACGGTGGTGAAGAATTACCAAATTTACTTGGTTTGTATGCTGCAGTTTTAGTCATCATCCTACTCTTGATTCCAGCCACATTCACTGCTGGTATGCAAGGTAATATAGACTTCTTCAAGGAAAAGATTACTGGTATGAGTGACAACCCGCACATTATACACTTTTCAGTCACCCACTTGCTAATTACATGCTTCTGTACTCCAGACTTTTCCCCGTTCAATTTCTAATTTCAAACTGCTTTTATGATGTGTTTACTTGGATAAATTTCTGACTTGTCTCATAATCAAGTTAACATAGTTTTGTTCTCATTGTTCTTCCCCATCCCACTTCTTTTTGTTTAATTTACTTAATCCCCACATATTTATCTGAAACATATAGCCTTGACATTCTGTTTGGTTTCTTCTCTTCCCTGCTCCTCCAAATCATGTTGCTTTTCTCTAGTTTTAGAAAAAAGTTAGCGTCCTCTCTGTTCCCCTGGCAAAACTCTCATAAATGCTCTGACATACTAATTCAGTTGCACTTGTCCTCCATGCTATCTTGAACAAACAGATTGTACACTTTTTAACCTCGAAAAT